AATTCATACATTAAAATATAGCGAAATTTGTTGCAAAATTTATTTGTGAGCATTTTTGTAATTTCCGTGCATTACACGAACTATTTACAGGAATCGTATACAGGTGAATATTTTATATAACTTTAATCGTATTTCTAATGAAAAGTGAAAGTCATTAAATTATAATGTCTCCTGACTTTGCGTACAAAAAAAAATTAATTTTTTATAGATGATTTTAATGGTGTAGGTCAAAAACTTTGTTTTTGTTTGCAATATTAGAAGTATACGTGTGCATTTTCCATAAATCATATAGAAAAATAAAAACTCTAGATTGTTAGTGAAAATAGGAAAGAAAGAAATCAGTCACCCATAAATAATAAGTAGTTTTTACTTCTTATTTACAATTTGTTTTTTTTTTAATTTGCATGTTATACAGAGTGTGCGCCATAACGAAACCGAATTTTGAATGGAATTTGCCCACATTTTATCGCTAACTAAATGTCTGTTGGTCTCTATGTAGTTGTTTAAAAGTGTTGTCGTTTAATGTGGTAAAAGTAATGTTATCATGTATTGGAATTATTAAAAATTAAACAACATAAGTTGCGGCAGGCCAAGGAGCTTCTGGTAGAATAGAAATAGATAGGAACCAGATGAAAATATTCTCCTAACAGCAGAATGCTGATTTAGGAGTCACATGAGGTAGTGATATGAGGTGTTTCAGTCTGAAGGCGAGAGTATTTGCGGGTTCTGTAGGAGATGCACCTTTTCGATGGGTATTGAGCGTTGATCCACAAAAGAGAGTCTTTTATTCCGCAAGGTAAATGAATTTATCAGGATGAAAGGTTTTGGGGAAGCGCTTTAGGCATAAAAGGTGAGTCAAGGTACATTATTACCCCATATATATAATCTAAACTGATTGATTGCTTTAGAAACGATGTGGTTGCTCTAGCTGCACAACCTGTGTTTACACATATTACAAATAAGCATGGCATCAAATATTTCATTTTTCACTGGCACTACTGACCGTGAAGTGCCAGTGAAATATGAGATTTTTTTTTCTTTCCAATCTGATACAATTGTAGTTAAAATAGCAGTAAAGTTTGTAAAAAATCTCGAAACAGAAAAAAAAATAAAAATGTAATGGAAAGAAAAAGTTTTCTATACTTTTGAATTTCATTAATTAACGAGAATGCAATTTTCGAAAACAGCATTCATTAAAAACGAAAAAAAAACAACAGAAAAATTAAAATTTAATTATCAATCCCATTAATATTGTTTGCTTTTTTTTTAAAATTTCTTCGTTTTGATTAAGCTCGTTTCCTTGAAAAATTTAATACCTGTAATACGGTAATATTTACCTTAGGTATGGGTATTATGTATATGAGTTTAATAAAAACTTTAAACTCATATAACAAGCATTAAATTAAATTGAGTGGAAATTTATTGGTTTGTTTTGCTCGATTTTTTAATTGGCGTCGAATTTGATATTGAGTAGGTGTAAAAAGGTATACAATACAAAATCTACATACATTTATGTACATGTTATATTTAACATATATACATATAATATATGTATAATATATATACATATAAATAATTACCAGATTGCATAAGTATGATTTCAATTTTTAATTTCATTAAAAATTAGGTTAAGTAATTTATATATGTATGAGAGTGTACATTGAATGTGTGTATATAATATTGTTTTAATTTGGCTCTTGAATATTGCGGTAATTCTTATAAGTGGTTAACAATATTTTCAACAATAATTTTTGATGTAATGTGAAGTTAATCAACAGTACTCTTTGGAAAAATTTATCTTAAAATTATTTTAATAAAATACTGACGTGACAGTATTATATAATAACATTCAATGTGGTTTTACGTTCCGTTCCGCAAGTCAAGTTAATATCATTATTGTGATTTTTTGATGAAAGTAAATTTACAGCGACGTTACCATATGTTAATGAAGCAAAAATATAAATGAGCTCAAAAGGTTTCATTGTGGTAACAAGCTTAGTTAAAGTAGTAACTTAATAAGATAAAATCAATGTTCGTATTGGAGGATCCAGCAAAATATAGCGGTAATTTACAATTATTTATTTAAATACTATTTCTCCAAATAATGCAATGGTTATGTGAATGAGTATTTTTCTTGGATTAGGGAGTGCATTACAAAATTTTGCAATTCGTTCTCCGAATCTGAAGCCGACTTCATTTTTTTTTAGATTTCGAATTCCGCTCCGAATTATACATAAATTTTAAAAAGAAAAATTTAATTTTCGAGTCCGACTCTTAGCCTAAAAAGTTTTAAGACCTTCGGCACTGACTTCTGAACAGTGACACTCCGACTCCACTGACTTCGATACCGTTAGTCCAACATCTCAATTGTGACACTTCGACCCCAACTTCGTTGATCCGATTATTCGAAAATTAACAAAAGCAAAATGTCGATTTTATAACTATTTTATTTGTTATAGCTTGCCTTGTCGGTAAGAACGTTGCCGCTTATATTAAAGAATTTTTCTCAATATATGTAATTCCAAAATCCACTCCAACTCCCGTACTCTCACATTTATGATGGGTTATTTGTTTTTAGCACGTTAAAGAACTATTATCCATATTTGGGTGTCACAATTTCATTATTTAAATTTGATAAATTTGCTTAATTACTTAATAAAAAAAGTCGCCAACAAAAAAAAATTTCCTTATTAAATTCCGAATTCCGACTTCTGACTTACTTCATTTTCGTTTTACTCATTTATTTATTTATTTTTCTTTTATATACAACAACAAAACCTACTCTAATTCCAAATTTATTTCCTACACTCACTGAATCCATGCTAAAGAACCATTCACTTTTATTTTTTTCTACACATAATTTTTTACTTTATTGTTATACAACAAATCCATCCATAAATAATTTAAATAATTTTCGAGAGTGTTAAAATATATTTGAAATGAATTTTTTTATAATTTTTTTTAATACTCGTAATCTGCCGAAAATTCGTGTAATTTGCTATTTTATTTTTATTATTATTAGATTTTTTGAAAGAATTTTTTTATAACAAAAGCTTTTTACTATTCGGTTTTTTCTTTGTACGTATCATTAATTTTGAAATTATAATCCTCTCATCCGAAATATTCCAAAACTACATATGAAAATATATTTGTAGTCAAAGTGGAAATATTTCCAATTCCGTGCTTACTAAAGTTTTGTGAAGTGTTTTACATAAAATGAAAAAAAATCGTTTTATACATATTATATATGTACTCGTAGTATATAATTATTGATTTTTATATTTGAATATTTGAAATTCTAAAATTATTAAATAAATTCCAGTTCTTGGTTTTCGACTATAATATTACATTCGACACGAAATCGATTTTCTACACTCCTGGGGCCTGCTTTCTGCATAGCCAAAATAATCAATAAGTCATTTGACAATAATTAAACGTTTGAAACTAACACGTCAATCGTTTGGCATTGATCTATGTTAAAATGATCGTCTATGATTGTCAAAAATGACAATCGATAATCACAATTGCAACTATCTAATAAATTGTTACCGTTATTTATCGTATGCATCGAGTGTTGATAATTTTGACTAAGCCGAAAACGGCTCATATTACTGACTTTTTAAGACTCACATATTATACGGTCTGATAGTCTCAATTCTGTTCTAACCCAAGATTTTGTTTAAGAAATAGAAAATCAAATCTCATTTACTTTGCAGATTGTCTCAACCAAATTAGTGTCCACTGGAGTACTCCTAAGAGTTTATAAAATTTTTATGATTGAGTGTAACATCTATATTTTTTGTAGTTCTCACATTGAAACTCTATATAAAAGTTTTTGATATTTATAAATATGACGAAAGCTTTAAATTCCGATTTTAATAAAAAAAAAACTGAAGAGGAACGTCTCTATTATTCACTTATTTGTACAAAATATTCCAACTTGTATACAAGCAAGCACATCCGCTAACATTCTTATTTACATTTTACACGCAAACATATCTGTATGCATGTGTAAATATAAGTAGATGATTATTACAATATTAATGAATGTAATAAAAATTGATTTTTAATTTGGTTATTCTTTATATATTCTGATACACAAAAACTTTTTAAAATTCAAAACACTCGAAAATTTTCAAATTTCTTAAAAGAATTTTTCATTGAAACATATATATGTATGTACATACAAGACGCTCATATCATAAGACAGCGTGTTTTTTTACTTTTCAAATTATATAATTATTAATTAAGAGGAGAACTTGTTTTTTTCAGCAATACAATTTCAGATTAGATAAAATCACACAATTTAAATGCTAGTATGTGTAGATACATTACAGGTTCGAAATATGCCGTTGTATTAAAAAATACTCAATTTAATATGAAAAGTTACATCACCTTCACAGGCAGCTTTAGAAAAATCATAGTATTGGGCACGAACTAAATGAAAAATCTTATCGGTGTCTTGGCGGAACATTGCAAACTTAGTAGTCCCCTAAGGAGGTTGTGTCTGCAAAGTAATGGTACTTGTAGAGTTTGTGGGGAGGATGGAAAGGTCGCAGTGCACCCTTTGTGAAATCTTCATCGCTGGAGAAAACAAATACTGAGAACTACGTACTCACTTCGGCCGAATGGCAGTCCGCCGGGTCTTACTCAAATTAAGCAGGGAGTATTTTAGGCAAATGCCCCAAATCTATTAGTGTATAGACGGGCACAATAGATCCTAATACGCTGGTCGGTACATTATTACCCCACCAATTCAATCTACACCACCTTATTCGATATTTTATTGCTACAGTCTAACTCTATACTCTGCACTGTCATTACCGCTATTATCTATTTTTTTAAATTATAAAATTATTATTTTGATTTAGTAGAGCGACAAAATATCTTTGTACTTACATACTTAAGTTTACGTTCCGAAAATTTATAAATTTCATTTAATATTTTATAAAAGTATTTAATTCTTTATTAAATACTCTTATTCTTTTATTTCATTACAGCTCATGGAAGACATTTTGGAGTAAATTCAAAAAGAAATAATTATTGAATTCAAAATCAAGAAATTTTTGTATGCTTATATATTTTATATGGAACACTTGCACACACATTTATAAAAGTTCATATGTGTGAATATAAATGATTGAAGAAAACTCTCAAATTATTTAGGAGAAAAAAATTATCAAAAGAGTATAAAAAATACATTCAACTTACAAAATAATAGTTTTGAAGGAAATTTGAAGGAAGGAAGAAAAAAAGAACAACGTACTTTTTGTTTTCGGCTTTTTTTTTGTTTCTTTATTAAAAATTTGAAAAAAAAATATTAACACCCATGGAACTTAGAAACGAAATCTATTATTTAATTGGTAAGATTTTTTTTTGTGTACTTTTAAAACCATCATCATGTTTTTAAAAGTACACACAACGCAATAATTTATAAAATATTTAATTTTTATTGTAATAAATTATTAAAAAATTGAAATTTTCAATTAAAAATTTTTTTTGTTTTTTAGAATTTTATGTCAAAAAATGAATAATTTAAATTAGGGGGAAAAAATTTAAATGTTTTAATGGAAGTTATGTGAAAATATTTTGTGTGTACATCAAGAATTTTCTATGATGCTCATTTCTGAACACAGTTATTACGTAACAATAAAAAAAATTTTAACTATTGAGTTTAGAGAATAGGGGAAAAATGACATAATATTGTGAGTATGAAGAGAATCAGTGAATAATCAAATCAAACACAAATTCTGTAAGAAGAGCTAGAGAGTTTAGAAGAATATTCCTATAGAGTTTGAAAAGAAATTCTAAAATTGTATTGGAGTATGAATATGAAATGAACTTGCTAATTCTCGTTTCAAAATACTGATGTGGACGAACTTCTTTACGTACTTATAATTTTTCAATGACAAATTAATTTTTTTCTTATAATTTTAGGTTGCACTTTATACGTATGTTTTAAGTGATTTTGAATTTGCATATGAAATTTATTGGAAATTATAAAAGTTTTTGCTAGCAAATGCACGAAAATCGGGGAAAATACCAAAAAAAAATGTGGACATTATTTATTAATCGTTCATTGTTTTTATTTTCCACCTTCTCTATATGGTGTCGCTAGTTATATTGCTGAATGATAAAATAGATAAATAATGTCATTTTTATTATAAATTACCAGTTAATATAGTCAATTTTAAGTCAAAATGTATAAAAAAAATTTAAAAATTAATTAAATTCCTGGAAGAATGGTGAATTAATATTATTGTAAATCCATTTTATATACATACATACCTATAAATAATTAAAGATTTTGAATATTTCTAAATTTACAATAAGAAATTTTCTAAATTATAAAAAAAGAATTCAATTGATTTAATTACCTATTCCCAACCGGAACTAAATTCAACAAAATTATAAAGAAATTTTATTACTTTTACAAATAAACTTTAATTCGAAAATTCTTTTACAATTGATATTAAGTATAAAAAAAAATTCACCACCCTTTAAAATCAATTTATAGAGGCAAAACTTCTTTATTACATACAAATAGTTTTGAACTATTTAAATAAAACTTAGGAGTTATCCTTTAAATTTTACTATTATTTATAACTATTTTTTTTAATATACGTACTTATAAATATTTTATTTATATCCAAATTTTCGTTTTCAAATTATTTATATTAAAAAAAAAGTAAAATTATTTAAAGTTTACCACCATATAGAAAAGGAAAAACTACTTAAACTTTTACATAGAAATTTTTGGAAATTTGCCAAGAATGAAAACATTTTTCAACAAGTATTTCGACAACTTACTCGTATAGACAATAAAGGAAGGAAGGATGTTTTAGTTTTTTTTTTTTTCTTGGTTCAATTTAAAATTAATTTTTATTTAATTTTGTAATGCAATATGCAATATAAAAATGTATGTACCTATACATATGTATGTATTTGTATATAAGTGAATTTTGTATATACAATGTCCTCTTTTATTTGAACGGAAGTTATTCCATTAATTTTTCAAGTACAAAACAATGAACTTTTTCAATTGTTATTTAAGATAAAGTTAACATTATTTAAAATGAAAATATTTTAATTTGTATTTAAAAATGTAAAAAAAGTATTTTTTAAAAAAAATGAGGTTTTGTAGCTAAATGAAATAAGCGATAATTATGTTGAAATTAAATTGAATAGATGTAAACACTAGGATTGAAAGAAACACGTAACAAGTGATCAATTTTTTACTTTCTATTGATCTCGAAATTCCCTACTGTGATTTTAAATGAATGATCAGAAAAATTTTAGAACTCTTAACAGATTTTTAACAGTTAAGTTCCATCTTCCCTCATACACGAGCATTTAATTAGCTTTCTTAAAAGTCACTGTTAGTCGGGATATAAGATAAGATATTCCATTAAACTTTATTTGGTCTACATTAATTAAATTTTGAAGATAGGAAAGGATTATTTCGGGTTATTTTTAAAACTTTCGAAATGTGGTAAATAAACACATATTTCTTATAGATATAAGATAAGAGCCTTCAAAATAGCAATACAGTAAATTTACGATTCTAAATTTAACACCTTATACTAAATAGTGTAAATTTCAAATATATTATAAGAAATTTTCTTAAATGACATTCTTTTCTATACTCACCTCATCTTATTTTCGTTCCTCACATATTATATTGTCCCCTAATAAAATTTTTTGTTAAAGTAAATAGATTACTAATTTTTATGATTTTAAAATGGTTTTTAATTTATCGAAGAATTTCTAAATTTAAATTGGATTCCGAACAAATTTTCGAAAACTCATATTCTAAACCCGTTATAACAGTGAAGGTGGGTTTGTCAACAGGCTGGCAAACCTTGAATTTACGTGCGAAGAGAAATCTCTTCAGAGATAAAACATTAATATCTATCTTAATTCTCACATCCAATTTAGCTCACGTTGAAATCCCTAAGGAATATCTCCGATTTATATATACCTGAAGGGTATTATATTTGAGTATGTTAGAGTCACAATGAGCTTTCGCCTGCTGCTGTGATCGGAAGAAAGGAGTTCAATTGCCTATATCTCTCTTCGTCAATTTATAAAATCTATACAATCTCAATTTTCACTCAACTCTTTTCAAGGCAACTCTGCCTACACTAAACATAGAATAATATTTAATTTCCAAATTATTCCAAAATTTTTGTTAAGTTTCTTAATCGAAATTCAGTTTCAAATTGAATAATACCCTTTCTAATATAATCTAAGTATCACTTAAAAAAATTTTTCTATTATTAATTATTTTAGATTTTTATAGTAAATCTAATAATGGACAGAGCGCCATAACACTTAAATTATAGCCTTTTTATATTTCCTTTAGCACAGACTTATATGTACATTTGATTATCATGTAATTTATGTAACTCATTAGCTCTTTATTCACTTTAAAAAAGCAAATGAAAATCTCTAAAGAATTTCTTAAAATGAAAAACAAATTAAAAAAAATTCTTAAAATACAGTAGTAAAATTAGATAAATAGAAAAAAAAATATTGAACTCTTAATAAATTAGAATCAAATGCATAAGGTCGTAAAAAGTCATCATTACTTGCTTACATATAAGTGCATCTCTAGAATATTCAACAAAATTTTAAAATATTTTCCCAAGGCACAAAATCATCACAAAATCATTAAGATAAGAGTGAAGTTGAAGTGAACAATATAAGAAACTGAATCCCCCCCCCCTCCTTCCTCCTACTCCTGTCCTGTATTGAGTATACACAAAATCAAAAACGATTCAATTTGTATAATGCTGTTTAAAAACATGCGGGCGGTTAGTATGCAACTTGCCCATTTTATATACAATCTGCCCCTAATTTCTGTTATTCTACTTTTACGTTGTTGTTTTTTTTTTTTAATATTCAGATCTTAATAAATGAGTCGACATTGTGTCAGATTTGTTGCTTGTCTTTTCTATACAAAATATGAGAAAAAAAAGAACAATTATATAAGAAAAAAAAACCATAAATAAACTGTGAAAAGTCATGTTAAATGCACAATGAGAGAAGAGCAGCAGCGCGGTTTCTTTTTATTTTTTTCGTTCACTTTTCAACATTTTCACATTTCTCATATTTTCTGTTTTTATCTTAATCAACTAACTTTAAAAATGTCATCAAGACTTGATGCATGGCATCGTATACACACTATACTACTGAATGGGTAATATGTACAACATTATACATTCATTTACGTACATACGTACATAGAAGACATAAATATATAGTGCAATGTATTGTAGATAGAAATGTGGACAAATAAAATATTTGTTACTGTTTTTTTTTTTGCCTCATATATTAAAAACAATCAAATGGGTAATTTATCTTCTTCTTCTTGCTTCATCTTCTTCTGATGCTTTGAGTGCCCTGCTTTGAAATTCTTTAATATGAAGTGCAATCATACATATATTTTTTCTTTCTTTTTATGTTGATTTGCTTTTATTTTGGCCTCCAAAAGCCAAAACATTATGAAAAATTGAAAAAAAAAATGTTATCTAAAAAAACAGAGAAAATTGAGAGTAAAAATCACGCTGTTTTTTTTATTATTGGTCTTACCGACTTGTAGAAAATTGTCATTGTCACCTCAACAGTCTATAACAGAACTCTTTGAGGGCAAAGCAGAATACAAAATCCTCATCTATTAATGCTCGGTCCGTTAATATTTAGACAGGCTTTTTCAGCCTGTTTTTCAAAAAAATATCCGAAGCCTACTATCGAGAACTGAAAGACTTGCGAAAACGAAAAATACTTTAGGCCAAAGAACTATATATAGACTAAATCTAATAAAATCTCAACTCTGTCTTTCGTCGCCCCGGAGGAGGAACAAGCCCTTTGCCTTGAATGAAATCTACAACTTGGAATGTCTTGGAATACTTTTGAAAAATTTAACTAGATTTTAAAAAGCGATAAGATGAAGAAAAAATTTAAAAAAATTAAGTATGCGAGCACATTTTCTACAAAAATTTGCAAGATTTTCGTTATATTCTTGATAAATAACCGCTAAGAGCACAGCATCCACAAAAAATCAAAAAGAAAATTTCTCTTTACCGGCAAGCTCTTTTTTGTTCGTAGAAATTTATATATAAATTTTGTATTCAACTGCATTTTACTAATTCTGCTACCCGCAAACTTGTTCTTTTAATATTAACAACTAAATGTAGGAATAAAAATTTGTACAAATTCTTAATCAAAATAAATCTTTCCATACAATCAATGCATACCGCAAATTCTTTAACGTCAAAATTTTGATTTTAGTCTGCAAACTGTCTGAAACTAAAACTTTTACGGACAGAAATCTAGTAAACTTTTTACCCGTAATTGACTT